AGTTCACCACCACAAGACACCCTCTACAAGAAATGATCAAGAAGATCCTCATACCTGAAAAAAAAGAAAGGGTTTACAAAGCCTTGAGCAAGGAGATAAATAGGCAGACAAAAATCAGAAAAATTCAGCTCTCTATCAGAAGAGGTTAGCAAACACTTAATCATAACATTAAAGATAAAGGGAAGGAAAACATAAAAAATAACTATAATCTTGTTGTTTTAACCACAAACCCACAACACAAGAGGGAATAAGTTGTGACAATAATAACTTACAAGGGGAAGAGGAAAGGGATGGAATTGGCTTAGACTAAGGGAATAAGAGGCTACGGACTATCTCTCTACAAAATTTTTTATACAAACTTCATGGCAACCACTAAACAAATAATCATAACAGAGACACAAATGATAAATAAAGAGAAAACTGAGAAAACTATCATAGAGAACTACCAAATTGAATGGGTAGTCTGAAGAACATGGGAGGAGAAACAAGGGAAATACAGAACAACTGGAAACCAAGCAACAAAATGGCAGCTTTAAGCCTTCATATATCAATAATCACCCTAAATGTAAATGGAATGAATTCTCCAATCAAAAGAAACAGAGCAGCAGGATAGAATAAAACAGAAGACCCAACTTGGGGCTGGCCCAGTGGTGTACTGGTTAAGTTCGTGTACTCTGCTTTGCAGGCCTGGGATTCATGGGTTTGGATCTTGGGTGTGGACCTACACACTGCTCATCAAACCATGCTGTGGCAGCATCGCACATACAAAATGGACGAAGACTGGAACACATGTCAGCTCAGCGACAATCTTCCTCAAGCAAAAAGAGGAAGACTGGCAACAGATGTTTGCTCAGGGCCAATATTCCTCACCAAAAACAAACAAACAAAAAACAAACAAAAAAAACTAGACCCAACAATATGTTGTCTCCAGGAAACACATCTTGGCTCTAAAGGCAAACACAGGCTCAGAGTGAAGGGATGGAAGATGATACTCCAAGCTAATGGAAAACAAAAGAAAGCAGGTGTTGCCATACTTATCTCAGACAAAGCAGACTTCAAGATAAAGAAGGCAATGAGAGACAAAGACGGGCAGTATACAATGATAAAAGGGACACTCCACCAAGAAGACATAACACTTATAAATATATATGTACTCAATGCAGGAGCATCAAAGTACATAAAGCAACTATTAACAAACCTAAAAGGAGATGTTAACAACAAGACAATAATACTAGGGAACCTTAACACCCCAGTTATATCAATGGACAGATTATCCTGACAGAAAGTCAAGAAGAAAATAGTGGAATTAAATGAAAAACTAGACCAGATGGACTTAATAGATAAATATAGAACACTCCATCCAAAAACAGCAGAATACACATTCTTCTCAAGTGCACAGGGAACATTCTCAAGGATAGACCATATGTTGGGAAACAGGGCAATCTTCAATAAATTCAAGAAGACTGAAATCATATCAAGCATCTTTTCAGACCATAATGCTATGAAACTAGAAATCAACTACAAGCAAAAAGGTGGGAAAGTGACAAACATGTGGGGACTAAACAACATGCTACTGAACAAACAAGGGATCATTGAAGAAATTAAAGGAGAAATCAAAAAATATCTAGAGACAAATGAGAATGAAAATATATCATACCAACTCTTATGGGATGCAGCAAAAGCAGTCCTAAGAGGCAAATACACAGCAATACAGGCCCACCTTAACAAACAAGAAAAACCTCAAATAAGCAATCTTAAACTACACCTAACAGAATTATAAAAAGAAGAACAAAGTCCAAAGTCAGCAGAAGGAGAGAAATAATAAAAATTAGAGCAGAAATAAATGAAATTGAAATAAAAAAAAAAAAACAGTGGAAAGGATCAATGAAACTAAGAGCTGGTTCTTTGAGAAGACAAACAAAATTGATAAGCCCTTAGCCAGACTCAGCAAGGAAAAAAGACAAGAGGCTCAAACAAATAAAATTAGAAATGAAAGAGGAGGAATTACAACAGATACCACAGAAATATGAAGGATTATAAGAGAATACTATGAAAAACTATATGCCAAGAAATTGGACAATCTAGAAGAAATGGATAAATTCTTAGACTCATACAACCTCCCAAAACTGAATCAAGAAGAAATAGAGAATCTGAATAGACCAATCACAAGTAAAGAAATTGAAACAGCAATAAAAAACCTCCCAAAAAATGAAAGTCCAGGACCAGATGGCTTCTCTGGAGAATTCAAACAAACATTAAAAGAAGATTTAATACCTATCCTTCTCAAACTAGTCCAAAAAGTTGAAGAAGACAGAACACTTCCTAACACATTTTACGAGGCCAATGTCACCCTGATCCCAAAGCCAGACAGGACAACATAAAAAAGGAAAAGTATAGGCAAATATCACTGATGAACATAGATGCAAAAATCCTCAATAAAATATTGGCAAACCAACGTCAGCAACACATTAAAAGGATCACACACCATAATCAAGTGACATTTTACACCAGGGATGCAGGCATGATTTAACATCCGCAAATCAATTGATGTGATACACCACATTAACAAAATGAGGAATAAAAACCACATGATCATCTCAATAGACATGGAGAAAACACTTGACAAGATCCAATATCCATTTATGATAAAAATTCTGAATAAAACAGGTATAGAAGGAAAGTACCTCAACATAATAAATGCCATATATGACAAACCCACAGCCAACATCATACCTGACAGTGAAAAACCGAAAGCCATCTCTCTGAGAACAGGAGCAAGACAAGGGTGCCCACTCTCACCATTCCTATTCAACAGAGTACTGGAGGTTTTGGTCAGAGCAATTAGGCAAGAAAAAGAAATAAAATGAATCCAAATAGGCAATGAAGAAGTGAAACTCTCACTGTTTGCAGATGACATGATTTTATATATAGAAAACCCTGAAGAGCCCACTGGAAAACTATTAGAAATAATCAACAACTATTGCAAAGTTGCAGGGTACAAAATCAACTTACAAAAATCAGTTTCATTTCTATACTCTAATAACAAACTAACAGAAAGAGAAATCAAGAATCCAATTCCATTCACAATCACAACAAAAAGAATGAAATGTCTAGGTTATTTCCTAGACATTCCAAGAAACAGAAAGATATTCCACACACATGGATTGGTAGAATAAGTACAGTTAAAATCTCCATACTACCTAAAGCAATCTATAGATTCAAAGCAATCCCCAATGATAATCCCAATGACATTCTTCATGGAAATATAACAAAGAATCCTAAAATTCACATGGGGCTACAAAAGACAGCAAATAGCTAAAGCAATCCAAAGAAAATAAGAACAAAGCTGGAGGCATCAAAATCCCTGAATTCAAAATACACCACAAAGCTATAGTAATCAAAACAGCATGGTACTGGTATAAAAACAGACACACAGATCAGTGGAACATAATTGAAAGTCCAGAAATAAAACTACACATCTATCGACAGCTAATCTTTGACAAAGGAGCTAGGAACATACAACGGAGAAAGGAAAGTCTCTTCAATAAATGGTGCTGGGAAAACTGGACAGCCACATGCAAAAGAACGAAAGTATACCTATATATGTTTCACAAGACACAAAAATTAATTCAAAATGGATCAAAGACTTGAATGTAAGACCTGAAACTATAAAATTCGTAGAGGAAAATATAGGCAGTACACTCTTTGACACTGGTCTTAGCAGGATCTTTTTGAATACCATGTCTATCTGGACAAGGGAAACAAATGAAAAAAAATAAGCAAGTGGGAATTCATGAGACTAAAGAGCTTCTGCAAAGCAAAGGAAACCAGGAACAAAAGGAAAAGATGACCCACCAACTGGGAGAAAATATTTGCAAATCATACATCCAAAAAGGGATTAAGTTAATCTCCAAAATACATAGAGAACTCAAACAACAACTACAACAAAAAAAAACAAACAACCTGATCAAATAATGGGCAGAGGATATGAACAGACATTTTTCCAAAGAACCTATACAGATGGTCAAATAGGCACATGAAAAGATGTTCAACATCACTAATCATCAGGGAAATGCAAGTCAAAACTACACTAAGATATCACCTTACACCCATTAGCATGGCTACAACCACCAAGACAAAACATAAATGTTGGAGAGGATGTGGAGAATAGGTAACCCTCATTCACTGCTAGTGAGAATGCAAACTGGTGCAGCCATTACGGAAAAAAGTACGGAGATTTCTCAAAAAATAAAAAATAGAAATAGCATATGATCCAGTTATCCCACTACTTGGTATTTATTCAAAGAACTTGAAATCAACAATTCGAAGAGACTTATGCACCTCTATGTTCATCGCAGCATTATTCACAATAGCCAATAGGTGTAAGCAACCCAAGTGCACAGTGACTGATGATTGGATAAAGAAAATGTGGTATATATACACAACGGAATACTACTCAGCCATAAAAAAGACAAAATTGTCCCATTTGCAACAACATGGATGGACTTTGAGGGTACTATGTTAAGTGAAAAAAGCCAGACAGAGAAAGATAAACTGTACGATTTCCCTCCCTATGTGGAAGATAAACTAACGCTTGGAGAAAGAGAACAGATTAGTGGATACTAGAGGGGATAGCAGTTGGAGGGTGGGTATAAGGGGTAAAGGGGGACATTTATATGGTGACTGATCAAAAATAATGTACAACTGAAATTTCACAATGTTATAAACTATTATGACCTCAATAAAATTTTAAATAAATAAATAAAAGTAGTTTTGACAAGGGGAGTATGATGGGGGGTGGGAAAAGATGGAATGAGGAATTGTTTCATTTTATTTTTAGCCTTTGTATACTTTTTAATTTTTAACCATCTTTCATAATGGTAAAAATAACCAATTTTAAAAAACTAAATTAATAGAATAAAAGGAAAAATAAAAATAAATGCAAAAAATATGGAAAGCAGATATCACTTTTTCAATTTTGCATGGTAACTTTTTCTCACCTTTAAGCATCTTCACAATTCCTATCAATGTTTTCATATCCATATCTTCATCAGCTATAAAATGAGATCAATTCACATATATAAGCATGGATACTCAAAAAACAATTTAAATTTGGCAATTTTCAGAATTTCCTCTAGAATTTTCTCACCTAGTGTGTCGCTATTTCCTCATTTCTATAACAGAATATAATAGCACCTATCTCATAGGCTTTGAGTAAGCATTAAAAGAGAATAAGGTGCTGGCCTATAGAGTAGTAGTTAAGTTTGGTGCACCCCACTTCAGCGAGCAGCCCAGGCTCATGGGTTCGGATCCCAGACACAGACCTATGTCACTCATCAGCCAGGCTGTAGCAGTGACCCATATATAAAGTGGAGGAAGATTGGCACAGATGTTTGCTCAGGGCTAATCTTCCTCAACAATAAAAAAAGAGAGAGAGAATAAGTAAGGTGCTTAGACCAATGTCTAGCATATTGTATGTGCTCAATAAATGATAGCCATTACTTTTTAAAAATTATAAATAAATAAGCAGAATCTATATGTTTTTTTCTGATATAAAGAGACAGCCATACCAGATATTTTTTCTAACTTAAAGTTTTGGATATGACACTGATGATTATAGCATCTCTTTTAAATATAAAATATAATTTCTTAATTTTCCTATCTAATCTCTAGAGGTAATATATGCCTTGTGGGCTTATTATAATGGCCTGAAGAATAGCTTTCATAGAGAGCAAATAAATATTCCTAAATATACAGAAAGAAAAAACTCTGTAGTCAATGTTTCCGCTCTTAACATCTGGTAAGGTTTTAAGGGGATATGATTTTAATTAGCAAACAGTTAACACGCAAGGGCAGCATGACCTGATGTTACCCTCTTGCCTTCATAGATATGTCAGATAATTACCTGTGTGGAAAGAAAGCAAAGAAAATCCCAATTGTACAGTGAAAGAATATATAAATACCATATACATGCACATACATATAATTTTTGGAACTGTAATTATGAGACCAGGAGATTATGAATCAATGATAAGAATCTTTCATAGCATGCTCTCAAACAGACCCTATATAATGTAACTAATGCAAACAAGTCATTCAATTTCTGATGACTTACCAAGAGAACAAAAGGGTTTTTTAAGTTTCTTTTGGATTAATCCTAGCTAAGTAGGATTTAAAATGTTTTGTTCTGTGAATTAAGGAAATTTAATAATTTTTTAATGTAAAATAATACCTACCCACAATATCTTATCCATTTTAAAGTGAGTACACTTATTAGCACACATAGTTGAGCTTATAATGATAATCCCCAAACCAATTGACAGTATTTTTCCAGATTTGTTATAGATTGGAAATTTATGTTGGGACCACAACAAAGAGGGCATTGGATACTATAAGTACTTTTTTACTTAGGTGATGTCACCAAGATGGTGAAATAGGAGACCCAAGCCTCTGTCCTCTAACACAGATGGACAATTAGACAGCTATCCACAAACAAAACACCTCTGGGAGAGCGCTGGAGTCTGCTTAAGAAACTTCAGCAACACAGTAGAACAAAAAAAACATGAGAATAACCACACAAAAAAGGAAGGAAGATAGTTTCATTTCACCTGCATCATTCCATCTCCCAAGCTGGCTTTGCTCAGTGCCAGGAGAGAACTCAGCTAGAAAGAGTTCCCCTCACCAGGAAAGGGAGAGGAGGGTGAGTGACCAGCTTTCCCCAGCCTTTCAAGACACTAAACAAAGGTTTGCTTTTGTTTCACCCCACCCAGAAAATGGGAAAGCTGAGACATATAATGATGGCAAAGAACAAGGAAGAAAAGCTGGGGCTACCAACAGTAGCTATGCAGTAGAGCAATCACGGTTCCCAAGGATCTGTTCTGTAGACAAACCTAGCAGCTTATGCCACGAAGAATGGCCACAAGAGCCATCACAGATTCCCTACAGATTTTACTGGCTTCCGTTCCACAGGTATTCACACTCACTGACACAAGCCACCTAAGTCCCTCCATGCTCTTCCAAAGTTGGAGGAATCACACTAAGAGAGTAGATCTTAAATGCTCTCACCACAAAAAAAATTGGGAATTATGTGAGGTGATGGATGTGTTAGCTAACCTTATTGTGGTAATCATTTCACAATATATACGTATATCAAACCGTCACGTTATACACCTTAAACTTACATAATATTAGATATCAATATCTCAGTAAAGCTGAGGAAAAGTCCATGATATTTTGATGTACTAGCAATGAAGAATTGAAAATTGAAAATATTTCGAATTTCCTTTTATAATAGTACCAACAACCATGAAATACTTAGGTATAAATCAAAGAAAATATGTGTGAGATATGTGTGCTTCAAACTATGAAACTCTCATAAGAGAAATCAAAGACTTAAATAAGTGGAGAGATACACCTTGTCATAGATTGGAAGGCTCAATACTGTTAAGGTGTCAATTTTCCCAAATTGATTGATAGATTAAATGCAATCTCAGTAAAATCACAGCAGGAAGTTTTGTAGAAACCAATAATCTGATTGTAAAATTTACGTGGAAAAGCAAAAAACAAAAAACTAGAATAGCCAAAACAACTTTGAAAAAAAAGAACAAAGTTGAAAGACTGACAGTAAGTAGCTAAAATCAAGCCTTATAATAGAAATACAGTAAAGGACAAACACAAAAATCAATGGAACTGAATAGACCACCCAGAAATGGAGGCACATACATATACTCATCAACTTATTTTCAACGAAGGGTGAAAGACACTTCAATGAATAAAAGACAGTCCTTTCAACAAATGGTGCTGGATCAACTGCATGTCAATGTGTTAAAAAAAAGAATCTCAAACTATGCAAAAACTAACTCAAAATGATCATAGACCTAAATGTAAAATCTAAAACTATAAAACTTCCAGCACTGTGCTTATGCTGTCCTATATGTTAGCTGCTAGCCACATGTGGCTATTGAATGCATGAAATGTGTATTGTCTAAATTGAGTTGTGCCATAAGAGTAAAATATCCAACAGATTTCAAAGTCTTAGTATGAACAAAGGAAAATAAAATGTTTCATTAGTAAGTTTTTACGTTGACTACAAGTTTAAATGATAATCTTTAGAATATTTTGAGTTAAATAAAATCTATTTTAATATTAATTTTACCTCTTTTAAATTTTATTAATGGGGCTACTAGAACATTTAAAATTACATACGAGGATTGCATTATATTACATGAGGATTGTTCTATACTTGTATTATAGGATAGCACTGTTCTAGAAGAAAACACAGGAGAAAATCTTTGTATCCTTGGGTTAGGTAAAGACTTCTTAGATACGACACAAAAAGCACTATTCATAAAAAATTATAAATTTTTCAAAGACACTGGTAAGAAAATGAAAAGATAAGTAACAGACTGGAAAGAAATGTTTACAGGGTACATATCAAACCTGCATCCAGAATATATAAAAGATTCTCAAAAGTCAATAAGTAGAAAAGAAACAACTCCATCAAAAAGTGGGCAAAATATTTGAGCAGACACTTCAGAAAAGACAGTATACAGATGGCAAATAAGAATATGTTGCTCAACGTCATCTGTCAGTAGGGAAACGCAAATTAAAGCCAAATGAAATACCACTACACATACTATGATAGCTACTAAAAAGGAAACTGACACTACCAAGTGCTAGTTAAGACTGCAGAGCAACTGAAATGCTTATATTGGTGATGGTACAGGCACTTTGGGAAACAGCGGCAGTTTTTTTTCATCAAGTTAAACATATACTTATCATACATCCCAGCAACCCCACTTCTAAGTGTTATCCCAAAAGAAATTAAAACTCATGTTCACACATAAGAACCTACAGGTTTGAATTTTGTGGTGATTTTTACTTATAATTGCCAAAAACTGGGGAAACTCATATGTCTCCTATAAAGACAAAGGATAGTAAAAGTTGCTAATTCATACAATAGAATACTATTTAGCAATATAAGGAAGGAATTATAGATACATTCAAATCCATGGATGAATCTTAAACACAAAATGTTGAAAAAAGAAGACATTTTGTGAAGATTACATACATTGGATTATACTGTATGTTTCTACTTAAATTCAGTCCTATAAGAGGCAAAACTAATCAATAATGATAAAAATGTGCAGTGATGTGGTTTTCCTCTTGGGAAGAGGCAAGTGACTGAATGGCAAGAAGCATCAGGGAATTCTCTGAGAAGCTGTAAATATCTATATCCTGATTGCAGTGTGAATTACACAAGTATATATATTTGTCAAAATTCACCATTTTATAACCTTAATCTGTAGTTTTATTGTATGTAAATTATAGATAATTTTTTAAATGAAAAACATTGGAGCAAAAATTTAGACTGTGTATAGTCATTGAGGATTTTTGAATAGCAGGGTAGCACATTAAAAACTGTGCTTTAGGAAGAATTATCTGACAGCGGAGTGAATCAGTTAATGTCTAAGAAGTCTACTATCTCTCAGCATATCAAATAATAAGAAGCAGAACTTTTGTAATGGCATGAAAACTTTTTTTAAATTTAGTCTAGATAATTCATATAAATATATTGTCAGAAACTCCCATGGAAAAGCCTCCAAACTAACAAGCTGAACAGTATCTAACAACCATAATGAGGTATTTTAAAGCCTCACTAGTAGCTGAAAGGTGTTCTAGTAGTTCCTGTTGTTCATCTTCTGTAAGTTTTATATCCATGTTTTTCAGAACAGCATCCACATTACTGAAATCAATCTTCCTTCCTTAGGAAATAAGAGCATGATGAGGATAAGGAAAATATCAAATCATATAGCACTGTGAAGCTCATGTGTTAGAAAAACACACAAAAAGAATGTTGCCACAGATATTACCATAAGTTTAAAAAGTTCATTTTACTTATTTGTATCTCTAGCATGTAACATAGTGTCTACTACTGCTGGTTATTCGGCAAAACTTTGTTCAGTGAATGAATTAGTTAGTTAATTAGCAAACTTTCACTCACCCATAGATGATCTCCTATCTTTTATCTCATTCTTGTTCACTGTTTTATCAACTGTAAAAATAAGAAACTAGGTCACTGGGGTAAATTATATTTATTGTGAATTTTATAAAATTATTAATGTAAACGTAGCAATTTTGGGATATTGTACACATTGATCTAAAATATAACCTGGTTTAATTCCAAATAAATATAAGGCACAGGAAAAAAGGAAGCTCTCAAGAATCAATGAAGAAAACTAAAGAGATCATCAACTTAATATAGACTGCTATATATGTAGGTTATTATATATGAACCTCATGGTAATCACAAATCAGATACCTATAATAAATAAACAAATAATTAAGAGAAAGGAACCCAAACATAATACTAAAAAAAGCCATCAAACTACAAGGGAAGAGAGCAAGAGAAGAAGAAAGGAACAGATAAGAACTACTAAAACACCCAGAACAAAAGTAACAAAATGCCAATAAGTACATACTTAATAATAGTTACTTTAAATGTCAATAGACTAAATGCTCCAATCAAAAGGCATAGGGTGGCTGACTGGATGAAAAACAAGACCCATATATATCTTGCATACAAGAGACACGCTTCAGACCTAAAGACACTCACAAACTGAAAGTGAAGGGACAGAAAAAAGATACTCCATGCAAATGGCAATGAAAAGAAAGCGGGGGTAGCAATGCTTATATCAGACAAAACAGAATTTAAAACAAAAACTGTAACAAGAGACAAAGACGGGCACTACATAATGATAAAGGGATCAATCCAGTAAGAGGATATAACACTTGTAAATATCTATGCACCCAACATAGGAGCACCTAAATATATACAGGAATTACTAACAGACATAAAAAGAGAAATATACAGTAACACAATAATAGTAGGGGACTTTAACACTCCACTTACACCAATAGATGGATCATCCAAACAGAAGATCAATAAGCAAACATTGGCCTTAAATGACACATTAGACAAAACGGACTTAGTAGATATATACAGAACATTCCATCCCAAAACAACAGAATACAAATTCTTTTCAAATGTACATGGAACATTCTCTAGAATAGATTACATATTAGGCCACAAAACAAGTCTCAATAAATTTAATAAGATTTCTTAAATAAATTTAAGAAATAATACCAAGCATCTTTTCTGACCATAATGGTATAAAACCAGAAATCAACTACAGGAAGAAAATCAGAAAAGCCACAAATATGTGGAGGTTAAAAAAAATGCTACTGAACAACAATTGATCAATGGAGAAATCAAAAAAGACCTGGAGACAAATGAAAATGAAAATATGACATGCCAAAATCTGTCAGATACAGCAAACGTGGTTCTAAGAGGGAAGTTTATAGCAATACAGGCCTATCTCAACAAACAAGAAAAATCCCAAGTAAACAATCTAACAGTGCACCTAACGGAACTGGAAAAAGAAGAACAAAGTCCCAAATCAGAAGAAGGAAGGAAATAATACAAATTAGAGCAGAAATAAATGAAATAAAGACTTAAGAAACAATAGAAGAAATCAATGAAATCAAGAGTTAGTTCTTTGAAAAGATACTCAAAATTGACAAACCTTTAGCTAGACTCACCAAGGAAAAATACAGAGAAGGCTCAAATAAATAAAATCAGAAATGAAAGAAGAGAAATTACAACAAACACCTCAGAAATACAAAAGATTCTAAGAGAATACTATGAAAAGCTATACACTGACAAATCGGATAATCTAGAAGAAATGAATAAATTCTTAGAAACATACAACTTTCCAAAACTGAATCAAGAGGAAGTAAAGAATTTGAATGACCAATCACCAGTAAGGAGATCAAAACAGTAATCAAAAACCTCGCGAAAAATAAAACTCCAGGACTAGACAGCTTCCCTGGTGAATTCTCCCAAACATTCAAAGAAGACTTAATACCTATCCTTCTTAAATTCTTCAAAAAAATTGAAGAGGAGGGGAAGCTTCCTAACTCATTCTATGAAACTAACACTACCCTGATACCAAAACCAGACAAGGACAACACAAAAAAAGAAAATTACAGGCCAATATCACTGATGAAGATCGATGCAAAAATCCTCAACTAAATACTAGCAAAGCGAATACAACAATACATTAAAAAGATCATACATCATGATTAAGTGGGATTTATTCCAGAGATGCAGGGATGGTTCAACATCTGCAAATCAATCAACATGATACACCACATTAACAAAATGAAGAATAAAAATCACATGATCTCAATAGATGCAGAGAAAACATTTGACAAGATACAACATCCATTTATGATAAGCACTCCAAATAAATGGGTATAGAAGGAAAGTACCTCAATATAATAAAGGCCATATATGACAAACCCACAGCTAATATCATTCTCATTGGAGAGAAACTGAAAGCTATCCCTCTAAGAACAGGAACCAGAAAAGGATGCCCACTTTCACCACTCTTATTTAACGTAGTATTGGAAGTCCCAGCCAGAGTCATCAGGCAATAAAAAGAAATAAAAGAGATCCAAATTGGAAAGGAAGAAGTGAAACTGTCATTATTTTCAGATGACATTATTTTATATATAGAAAACCCTAAAGAATCCATCAAAAAATTTTTAGAAATAAATGAACACAGCTAAATTGCAGGATACAAAATCAAAAATAACTTGCATCTCTATACAGTAACAATGAAGTAGCAGAAAGAGAAATTAAGAATACAACTTCCACAAAAAGAATAAAATATCTAGGAATAAACTTAACCAAAGAGGTGAAAGATCTGTAAACTGAAAATTTTTTGTTGAAAGAAACATAAAACCGTGTTGAAAGAAATTGAAGAAGACACTAAGAAATGGAAAAATATTCCATGCTCTTGGATTGGAAGAATTAACATCGTTAAAATGTCCATACTTCCTAAAGCAATCTGCAGATTCAATGCAATCCCTATCAAAGTTCCAACAACACTTTTCTTAGAAATGGAACAAAGAATCCTAAAATTTATATGGAAAAACAAAAGACCTCGAATAGCCAAAGGAATCCTGAGGAAAAAGAACAAAGCTAGCGATATCACATTCTCTGATTTCAAAATATAGTACAAACCTATAGTAACCAAGACAGCATGGTACTGGCACAAAAACAGACACACAGAGCAATGGAACAGAATCGAGAGCTCAGAAATAAACCAACACAACTATGGACAGCTAATTTTCGACAAGGGAACCAAGAACATACAATGTAGACAGGCAAGTCTCTTCAATAAATGGTGTTGGTAACACTAGACAGCCACATGGAAAAGAATGAAAGTAGACCATTATCTTACACCATGCACAAAAATCAACTCAAAATGGATTAAAGACTTGAATGTAAGACCTGAAACCATGAAACTTCTAGAATAAACATAGGCCATACGCTCTTCAACATCAGTCTTAGCAACATATTTTCAAGTACCAGGTCTGACCAGGCAAGGGAAACAATAAAAAAAATAAACAAATGAGACTACATCAAACTAAAAAGCTTCTGCACAGCAAAGGAAACCATTAACAAACTAAAAGACAATCTAACACTTGGGAGAAGATATTTGCAAACCATATGTCTGATAAGGCGTTAATATCCAAAACACATAAAGAACTCATACATCTCAACCCAAAAAGCTAACAACCCAATTAAAAAATGGGCAAAAGATCTGAACAGAGATTTCTCCAAAGAAGATATACAGATGGCCAACAGGCACATGGAAAGATGTTCAACATCGCTAACTAGCAGGGAAACGCAAATCAAAACTACAAGGGGATATTACCTCACTCCCATCAGAATGGCTATAATTAACAAGACAGGAAATAACAAGTGTTGGAGAGGATGTGGAGAAAAGGGAACTCTCATACACTGCTGGTGGGAGTGTAAACTGGTGGAGCCACTATGAAAAACAGTATGGAGATTCTTCAAGAAAATTAAGAACAGAACTAACCATATGATCCAGTGATTCCACTGCTGAGTGTTTATCCAAAGAGCATGAAAACATGAATGTGTAAAGATACATGCACCACTATGTTCATTGCAGCATTATTCACAATAGCCACGACTTGGAAGTAACATGGGTGCCCATCAAGGGATGAATGGATAAAGACGATGTGGTATATACACACAATGGAATACTACTCAGCCATAAAAAATGATGAAATCTGGCCATTTGTGACAACATGGATGGACCCTGAGGGTATTATGCCAAGCAAAATAAGTTAGAGGGCGAAAGTCAAATACTGTATGATCTCACTCAGAAATAAAAGACAAAAACAACAACAAACAGTCACATAAAGACAGAGATTGGATTGGTTGTTATCAGAGGGGAAGTGGGTAGGGAGGAGGGTAAAATGAGTGATTAGGCATATGAGTATGGTGATGAATTGTAGTTAGTCTTTGGGTGGTGAATATGATGTAATCTACACAGAAATCAAAACATAATGATGTACACCTGAAATTTATATAATGTTATAAACCAACGTTACCACAATAAAAAAAAAATAAAGAGCATCAAAAAAAAAAAAAAGAGAATCAATGAAGATTATTGTTTCTGAGAGATAATGAATCAACTGCAAAATAAGGCACTTTGAAATACATAACAGACAAAAAAAATCAGTATTCAAGCTTTGTAGTATCTTTCAGAACTTGGAATGAGTTCCTTTGCAGGAGATGATGGAGAGAAGACATATTCATTCTGCTGATGTAACGAGATAGGGGCATGGAATCATTTTTCCCTGTTATCTAACAAAAATAAAACTTTAAAGCAATCCATTTTAGTGAGCTGCCCCTTCCAATTGTGCAAAACCTACCAAGAAAATGGGGCCTGTGCCTGATAGTCCATTTGGAGCCCTGGAAGGCAGCAAGACAGACAGACTTTCCTGAGAAAACAGAGCAAGTGGAAAGTAGAGAAAAAATGAGAGCATTGCTATCTAAGAAGGAGAGTCTAGGACAGCCACCAAGTTTTCCACAGCCCCAGCATGGCGTAAAGAATAGCAAAAGATTTCCTGTGACACAGTAAAAGGAGCAGAGGTTGGTGAGAGAAGAGCCAAAGCCCCAAAGCGGCCTGACAATCAAGCTGAGGTGCACAGCAACAAGTAACAGTACAGACTGCAAGATAAAACACCAGAAGAAAATGCAGGTCATTCAATGAATGCCAGCATGAAAGAGAACAATATATGAGGCTTGGGGGCCAGCCGCGTGGCCAAGTGGTTGAGTTCGCGCGCTCTGCTTTGGCGGCCCTGTGTTTCGACGGTTCGGATCCTGGGCATGGACATGGCACCGCTCATCAGGCCATGCTGAGTGGCCTCCCAAATGGCACAACCAGAAAGAGCTACAACTAGACTGTACAACTATGTACTGGGGGGAGGGTGTTTAAAAAGTATATATATGAGGCTCAGAGCACACATGTTATCATGAAGATATCTGAAGAGCAGGCACCTACCTCCCTTTCCCCACCCACCCCGACATGAGCCTTCCAGAGCATAGACACAACCATCTGGAGAAGGGAGAAATGAAAAGATCTTTATTCAACTTATGAAAGTGCTGATATGAACAGAATTTAACCTAGTAGTTAAGATCATGTTTTCTACCACTCAGAATACAAACTCATGTGGGTAAAAACTGCAATGTCCCTAATTTCTCTAAGTTAAGACATAGAAAAATAAAAGCAAACTTTTGTACACTTGAGTTTTTGACCTAAGAAATTTGCAACTTGCAAAATTTATGTAACTAACACTCAGTAGACTGTAGCCTCCATGAACTAGTCAGAAACTATCTTTTGGTGATTTTAAGGAATTTATATCCTACTTTTGTTTTTCTTATTTTCATTTCCATGTTTTCTTGTCACACACCAGAGAACTTCCTCCAGTTGTCAAGGAGAAGTTTAGGATAACCTCCTGCTGGCCTGGTCTTGGAACATGCTCTGCACTATTGAATCAGTATACTTACCAATGTTAGATGATCATCCCTTCTCCCTTGGCTCAGCTCTGGCCCTCCTGGCTGGGTTCCCCTTGGTCGTCTGTGCTGGAGCACCCTCACCAGAGCTTTTGGCCATAACTGCCAGTTGTTCTCACTGAGCTCTCAGCTGACAGAACTGGGTTTCCTCTGCATTTGGTCATCTCTATTTTGACCCCTTAACTACAAGAACCTGGCTGCGGCTGCTCACATCCCCATTCTGACTCTTTGTGCCCTCTCATCTGCTCCCCACGCCATCCATACACCCACACACACTAGTCCTTCCACTGGGACCGCTTTTACCACCTATCCTGGTCTATGAAGGTAGAGTTAGAAAGGGCTACTTAAGCTGTGTTCCAACTCTTCTGAAACCGCGGGCATTGGGGAAATGAGCAGCCATCTGCCCTGCATCCTCTGTTTTCACTGACCAATTCATTTAGTCATGTTTCCTTCCCATCCAGTTCCCTGTCACTGTCAATTAGGCCCTTGCTCTTTCAAGCTCCCCTTGCCCGTGGAATATCGTCTGGTCCTAGCTGTGGTTCCCATCACTCCCCCATCACCCGCTTTGGTTAACCTTGTGCCTGTCTCATGTATGATCACATCACCAAAAAGGGGGAGGGTGAGATAAGAATTTTTTTCACATTTTGTAATCACATAAAAATAGTAGACAAATTGCCTAATGGTTGGGTTTGTCTACAATTTTCAACATTAGTGATTATTTTTTGGTTCTGTCTGCCAGTTAAAGGGTTTGTCACTGTTAATTCAAATAAACAATAATGCACCGTATCCCTATGCATAAAATGTTCTTCTAATTATAAGGATGAAAATTCTGCCCTTTAAAAATTGTTTTAAAAAAAACTTGTATTTTGTAAATTTTTTTTTCCTGCTTTGAGCTATGTAGTGGCAGTGAAACATACACCTATCTTTGTTCTATAGAAATGCTTTTCTTCAAAGAAGCTGATTTTTGTTAATGTCTTGATTATGGTCTCCACGTACAGACTAGTGCTTTTAAAAAAGGATGGAAAAAGCGAAAAAAAACAATTTAAAAAAGTTACAGAATGTTGTGTGCCGGGCCTTTCTTGACATAGTGGACTGGGTGTAAATATTAATGGTGGCAGCATAGGAGCCCACCCTGCTGGAGCACTTCTCTCAGGTACTCTGACTTGCTCTGAACCTTGGGAAGTCTCTATTCTGTCTTCTGGGCACCCGGCAGTGTATGGAAAGGTCACTCTGCTTTCCTACTATATTATAATCTTCTGAAGGACCGAAATCATGTCTTATTAAATTCTATAGTCTCAGTGTCTGGCAGAGTATATAGAACATAGGGGGACCTTAAAAATGCCTGTTGAATCAGTGATAGAGGAAGGGATGCCAAAGTATTCCTATAAATATAAATTTAGATCAAAAGCACTAAAATAGCCAATACATATCCTTGTTTCTTCTGTACTACCCAAATGAAGCTCTTGGAAACCATAAAATTTATTCCCAAGGATGGCAACCTAAAGCATGACATTTAAGCTAATTTTTTTTTATTACTTTTTATCATTTGCCATGGTTCTTTCTATATGAATTTCATATCTAAGAAGTTTTCATTTATAAAAGGACTTCTCAGAAGACAGAACTATGTGGGCCATGTCTACGTATATGTCACCTTTAATTGACAGGTCCTTCAGAATCTCACAAAATTCTTTACCTGACATCTCCATCCTCATGTTTCCTAGGAAGGTGTCTAGATTGCTGTCATCAATCCTATTTCCTAGGAAAAAACAGAAATGACAAAAGCCATGAGAATGGGAAATAGTAATAATTTTCAATTATGAAAAATCTTCCTATATCTTCATATTGTTATAGTCAATTTCAGCGTGAAAAGGAGAGGCTTTTTGATGTGTATTCAGATGCACGCTTTAAGTTATTCTATCAGAAACAGAAATACGTTCTTTTTATCATTTTACAGGGAATATGGCTATAAAGTACAGGAACATTTAACATAGTATAGCCCATATGATACTGGACATGAAGTATTACCCACTGATACTGAGGAAACAGTTAGAAGGCAATATTTGACATGTGGCAAATAAAGTGTCATGTAGCCACAGAATGGGGAATCAATTTTCAGCTTGTACTCTGAGGAGGAAGTGATTTTTTTTTTCCAAAATGATAAATTCAGTATTCTCTGCCAGTCAATTCATCAGGAAGACATAACCATCACAAATGCAGATGCACTGAATAAGAGAGTCTAAAAATACATAAAACAAAATTGACAAAATTTAAGGAAGAAATAGAAAATATAACAATCATAATAGAAATTTTAGTACCTCTCTCTCAACAATTGATGGAATAACTAAAAAAAGTCAGTACAAACAGATGATTGAGGAAGCTATCAACCACCTTTACCTAATTCATATTTATAACATACTATACTCTTCAAGTGCAGAATACACATTTTCAACTGCACAGAGTACATTTACCAAAATGGACCATATACTGGGCCATAAAACAAATACCAAGAAATTGAAAAACATTGAAATCATAAAGCATCTTTTCTCTGACCATAACGTAATTAAATTACAAGTCACAATTAAAAAAAACTAAGAAAACTCCAAATATTTAGAAATTAAATGACACACTTCCAAATAGTCCATGGATCAGAGATGAAAGCACAAAGGACATTAAAACATATCTCAAACTAAATTATAATTAAAATAAAACATAACATTTATTGGATGCAGCTAAGGTAGTGTTTGGCAAGAAGTTTACAGGTCTGCATGGTTATATTAGAAAAGAAGAGAGACCAAAGTTTCCGCCTTAAGAAGCTAGAAAAAGAGTGAAGTAGATCCAAAGTCAGTAAAAGGAAAGAAATAACAAAGATAAAAGCAGAAATCAACAAAATACAAAACAGATAAAATATAGAGAAAATTATCAAAGCCAAAAATTGGTTCTTTGAGAAGATTAGCAGAATTGATGAAGCCCAAGAAGGACTGGTCAAGGAAAAAAAGAGAAAACAGAAACTGCCAATCTCAGGAATATAAGAGGGTAATCACAATAGACTGTACAAACATAAACAAGATAATAAGAGAATATTATGAACAAATTTATGCCAACAAATGTGACAAATTAGATGAAATAGAAAAATTCTTGAAAAATACAGGTTACCAAAACTGACAAGATGGCATAGAAAACATGAATAGTCCTATATCTGGTAAAGTGATTTCATAATTAAAAACCTTTCCACAGAGAAAATTCCACGCCCAAATGGTCTTACTGTTGAATTCTACCAAATAGTTAAGGGAAAAAAAAATTTCCAAACTTACACAAACTTTTTCAGAAAATAAATAAGGAGGTAACACTTCTAACTCATTTTGAGGCCAATATTACCCTGAAACCAAAACTTAGACAAAGGCATCACAGGAAAACTATAGACCACTATCTCTCATGAACATAAACACAAAAATTTAGCAAAACATTGTCAACTTGAATCCAGCAATATGTGAAAAGGGCAATACCATGCCCAAGTGAAGTTTCTCCAGGCACTACGAGATTGGTTTAACATTTGACAATCATTATAATTCACCATATCAACAGAATAATGGAGAAAAATAATATGATTATCGTAAAAGATAGGAAAAGAATTTTACTAAATTCAACAACCATTTATAATAAATGTTGCAGTAAATTGGAAAGAGTAAGGGAAATTCCTCAAACTGGGCCTTTAATTAAAAAAACCTACATCTAACCTACCTAATGGTAAAAACCTGAATGTTTTATCCCTAAGATCAGAATAAAGTAAGATGCTCATTCTCAACACTCCTATTTAACGTTAGAATGGAGGTGCTAGCCAATAAAATAAGGTAAGAATAAGAAAAAGAAATAAAAGGCATAGGGAATTGGAAGAAAGAAGTAAAACTGTGTCTATCTCCAGATTACATAATTATTTACATAAAAAATTCTAAAGAATTTACAAAATACCAGGGCTAATAAGAAAATTTAGCAAAGCCACAGGGTACAAGGGTAATATACATAAATAGATTCTATTTTATCATATTAGCAGCAAACAATTTTTCAATTTTATTCTTCAACATAGTGTCTCCAAATTGTCTTGTGAAGTCACAGGAAAATTAATATGTGTGATACAAAAGTTTCTGTACCATCTTGAAGTTAGCCTTGGAAAATGAGCGAGAAAGTGAAGATAATAGGATTGAGAATGGTGATGGGGGCTTCAACCATAACTAAATATTTTAATTTCTTTTAAAAATAAACAAAGGTCCAAATACAATGTAAGAAACTGTTAAAATGTGCCAAATCTACTATTTTCTACACTTTTCCGTGTGTTTGAAATATTTCATAATTTATCATTTCTAAAATTATCAAAATAAGACAAAAAATAAAAAGAGTTCTGTGATCTAGAAGAATCAGGGTCTGCTATATATCAACTATATCAAACTCTTAAACATACAAAGTCTCTAATAGTCTGGAAGTAGAGAAATTTGCTTGTTTTCTACTTCAGTGTTTTCCAAATTTAGCCACAGAACTCTTTTTTTTCTTTATAACATACCATTTAATATCCCATGGGCCAGCATTCACAGATAGCAGTTTTTGAGACACTGCTTCATAATTTATACCCAATTACTTTCCAAAATAATTTGAAGAATTATTCAATGAAAAATTAATATATTTAAAATAGAATTAAAAATTCAAAAACACATTAGAACAAGGTAGTAAATAACAAACAAAGCCAACACAGTTACAGTGATTAAATATTAAAGTTAGGTCTGAACTTTCTGGTAGCTAAGACACAAAGGGGAATTCAGGTTATCATCTACACAAAAAAGCACACTGGTCTTTGGGAGAGAGAAGGTGTTTTCTGATATTAAATTTCAAGAGACATTTCTCATATTCACCACTAAATAACATAATGGACGATCTCTTCAGGAGATACAGCACACTTTGATATGGTTGTTTTTAATGCCAGTTCTCAAAAACAGATGAGGTATATTATTAAGAAATTGCCCCAAATAAGGCATTTCTACAAAACATCTCTTCATAAATATTTTTGGTTTGTCAAAGCTATACATGTGTGCCTATCCAAAAGTAGGTGGAAATAGTCAAAGAAGTAAACCTTCAGCTTCTGAAACAACAGAGGGCATTTAAAAATGTACAATACAAAGTGATCTGGAAGTGAATATAGTTTTGGCTTGAAGTTAGAATTATTCTTCTCACCTAAATATGCAAAATATAAAACATTACTTCCTTTTCAATACCATAGAGGCAAGAAAGGGCAGCTCATCAGAGAACCCAGAGGCCTGAGATTACATAAATACTATGCAAACCAAAAGAAGAAAAGGGTCCTTAACATTATGCTTGACAAATGTTGTACTAAAATTAAACTTTGAGTTAGTGTATAAAGAGAGATTGAAAAAAAGTGGAGCCCAGACAAAGAAATAACCAAAGAAAACAAAGTTCAAATAACAAAAAAAGAGAAGAAAAATTCTCCCAACGATGAGAATAAGGGTTTTCACCAGTTTTTTTTTTTCTCCCCAAATCCCCCCAGTACATAGTTGTATATTTTTTAGTTGTGGGTCCTTCTAGTTGTGGCATGTTGGACACTGCCTCAGCATGGCCTGATGAGCAGTGCCATGTCCCCACCCAGGACCCAAAACAGCAAAACCCTGGGCCACCAAAGTGGAGCGTGTGAACTTGACTACTCGGCCACGGGGCTGGCCCCTCACCAGTTTCTTAATGAAGAATTATAAATCAATATCAGGAACCCACTGTTTATCATATGTTAATATGTCTCATACAATTACACTTTAGTTAAAGTAGAGTAATTTGCAAATAACCTAATTCCAAGTGTTAGTTCAGTCATTTTTAACTAATATTATTACCTTCATAAGATCCTTAGGGAAACATAATCACAGTCAAGACTAGGCAGAAGAGGTAACCAGTACTCCCCATAAAGATCATGGTCTTTTTTAGTTGTGCTGCACGTTTGACATGCATGGAATAAAGACATTAGAAAATTCTGCCAGTGTTAAATCAGTTTAAGACCGTCTCAAAAGCTATGTGGCGTTTTCCCAAGAGATCTACAACACATGTCATTACCTATCTTCATTCAACTGAAAATTCTTACTCACTTTCAAGTAGAGATGAAAATTCTGAATTGACCAAATTGCCCATAAACTCTTCTAAATTTACTGTCCCATCCTCTGAAAGAAAAATGCATGTCAGGGAACATGGAAAAGGTAACTGATCAAAGATAAGAGATAGGCGATTATAGTATAATTGCTATACTGAAAAACAACTTATAGATTTGGCCTTGAAATATTGTTAAAGATACATATTCAATCATAAAGACAGATTCACATGTATCATTCAGACACATACAGACTTATCCCCTATAGATCCTCCTTTGTATGATGCTCCTGAAAATAACTAGAACTCAACTGGGAAATAAGTAGAAAAAAGCCTTCGATAATCCATGAAGCAGAAAACCCTTTAAGGATTCTTGAAAAGTTCAAACAGATGCATGTCAGCTAAGATAAAGAATACCTAGAAACATTAAATACTCACCTGTGAGAGCCACATTCTTCAATGCTCTTTCAATCACATCTTGTGGTAATGGAACTCCTATACTTTTCATCATGGAGCCTAGGTCATCAGGATTGGCCACATTTTTCCTAATGGAGACCAGAACTTTCAAGAGGTTGTCTATTTCTATATTCAAAAAAATATACAATGTATGAAGATTTAAAAAACACTCAAATATCAATAGTAGGTCATGAACAATAATAATAATAACAATAACAACTACTACTATTACCACTTATTGAGTATTCAGTCTGAGCTTGCTAGGCACCTTGCCAAGTGCTTTACATACGCCATCTCATTTAATCCCACAAAAATTCTGTGAGGTTGGTACCAATATTTCCCTTATTTAACAGATAAGGAAACCTAGCCTTAGAGAGGCTATTCTGTCTAAGCATACACAGCTACTAAATGTGAAGTCAATTTTTAAGCCCAGGGTGTCTGATTTCATAGGCAGAATATTTAACCATGATGCTAACCAAGTCATTGCAGATATTTATACTTGAGATTTAAGAATGATTACATAAAAAGAAATCTCAGAACATCTGCTTATACTTCTCTTTATCATATCTGAAGCTGGAAATTCCACTAAAGCTACGTTAACTAATTGTAAAAGTAATTCTCTTGTCAAACATTGGATAACTGGTCATAGATCGATGTGACTATTCTCAATTTTTCTTCATTCATCGGATACTTGTATGTACCAACACACACACATAAAAATGACCCCAAATAATGGAGAGATTGGCACTGCTATATCAATACCACAAAAAGGTATTATTTATTTTTGAAAGCATCACGTATAAATTATTCATTCAAGTAAGAAAAAATCTTTAAATTTTGTATTATGATAAACACTATCATATCATAAACATTAACCCTGTAACAGATTTGCTTATAAACCACATTATCTAGGAGAGTTTTTATAGGCCTTATTTAGAAAACAAAGGATTAAGGACAAAATAGTTGGTCAATTGAAAAAACATACCATTTTGGCCACATCCTAAACACCCAGGCTCTAGAGAACAACTTCATTTTGTACCTACCTAAATTAAGCCTTTTGAATTTAGTTCAGTTTCAGTTTTGGAAAGAGTCTAGAAGAAATTAAGCCATTTCAATTAATCTCAAGAATATGGGCTGCTCCAAGGAGACTGAGGGAATTGAAAATAGTTGTGAATTTACTAACCTAGGCTCATTTAGCCTAAACTTCAAGAAAACCCAGTAGTTCCACAGGCTTCTCTAGCAGATGAAGATGCCAGTTAACTGAAGACATTAAAACTAGATTACATCCAATGTCTCATGGCTAAGGTAGTAGAGTAATGGGAAGAATACCACAGAGGAAGTCTACATGTTTCAACATGTTCCTATATGTTTTAATAGTTAATTTTCTCATGATAAAAATGATAAAATCACATTTTAATAAAGGGATAATAAAATAGAAAAAGAGGAAGGAACACTGTTCTTATTCCCACAGGATTTCAGTAAAATGACCAAGACATGGCCAACTGATGGCAGCCATCTTGGATCACAAACTTGGATACTAGAATGAATCATCCAGATAGATTTTGTATATTTACCCCTTTTTGAGTGATGGAAAAATATACTATAATCTAGAAAATATAAGTCAAGAAAAGGTCAGGGCTAGGATCCCCTATTGATTCCTCATCCAAAGTAGATTTGTTATACATATGATGTGGTTTACAGCATTAGAAAACTGCACAAATGAATACAATCAAAACTAAACAATTCGACTCAAAATTTTTATTGTTAAAAACTTCTGACTCACTTGAACCTTTTGTAAAATATGGCGTTTGCATCAACCTAGTCAGGCAATCTTTTAAGTCCACTTTCCCTTCATCTGAAAATGAAACATAAAGGAATGAATGGCCTTTGGTCCAAAGATACAAAAGAATGAGGTCAGAAAATATGCATGCCTACTAAACTTTCAAAACCAATGTTAGTCCTATGTTTTTCTAACTTTGATTCTCCTAAACACCTCTCAGACTAACTATGAAAAAGAATATGATTATGATGACCCTGGTGGTCTTTTTCATTGTAAAGCCAATGAGTATTTTACGTATTTTACACATACCTTAACCAGCTGGGACCATTGTTTTGGTATGTTTTCTCTCTGATATGATATTCTTTTAATTTTTCAGCATTACAAGTCCTACTATAACTACCTACGTTTTCATGGAAGACAATTTATCCACTAGAAGATAAGTGCCATAAACCAAACTCAACCATACTATCTAAAGAAGACTGTATATACTTATAAACAAAGATATATTAATTAAGGAAACGTGCGATCTTTTGCTTTCTATCAGTCATACTTGGAACTTAAGAAGAAAAAGACCACCACAAGGCTCTGCAAGTAAGCTAAACATCCCACTGGTAGGATTCCAAAAACATCAGTGTAGCCCTTTGAGGACTGTGAGGAAATTAAACTGGTAGTGTGAATCACCATACTAAGGCTTAGGCTTTTGTTTCATAGGCTTGAGACAGCTTCACAGCTCCTGATCAATAAGAACCCATGATTCAAACCTCAGGAGGCAAAATGGGAAGAAGAGAGGAAGATAATACTTCCTTAGGATAACTCAATATAAGGATAATCCAAAACAAATTCTTACTCAAGCCTAATAAAGAAAATCTAATGTTGTTAAACTCATTACATTTGATTCCTAATTACTCAGCTCTGTGGATTTACGAATGAAAGTAAACACAAGTTTTATATGTAATAAATAACTCAGAAAAGGAAATACCATCAACAGAAACGGATGTGAGCACCTCCTGTAATTCTTCCTCTGGAAAATAAATCCCCAGGCCTTGCAATACAGCTTTTACATCATCAACATCAATTTTTTCATGGGTGACTTTGTCTAAGGCCTTTGCAAGTTCACTAACCTCTATCAAGAGAAAATATTTTCAGTTTAGATACATAATCAAAATAATTAAACTATAATTCAAAAAACTAGTATAGATACCTAGCATTTTTTCTTTAAAAATGATACAGCGTTCACCTTAAGTATTCTCTTGATGTACGTATTTAACTCTCATTTCACATATACATATAAAGCAGACAACCAATTATAAGGCAAACTCATAGGAGGAATTCAACTTTGATATCTTTCTACCTCTATCCATCCATCTCTGCTTCCCATGCTTCTGATATCCTTTCCTCATGTGTCCAGTGTTCTCTCCACTGCTTCCTAGTTAGTGCCACCTCAATTTGTCTCTTCCCAATCCTTCACTAAAATTTAAATCATCTTATACTGACTCTCTTTTACTTAGGGCTGAGAACATTGGTGTACATGGTAACAGCTAATTAATCTGCTAATAGAATTGGTTTTTTAAAAAATAATTGGAAACTAATGCTAGTGTAAGGGAGAGTTTTATTCCCATGTCAGTCTCCGTTGTATTTAATAACAAACACTTTAATAGTGGCCTAATATAGGTAATACCTTGGTACAAAAAAATGTCTTAATGGTTGGAATTTATGATGCTGTGAAAGATCTTAGAGAAATTTTCTTTTAGAGAGATTAACCATACATCATATCACTTTACAGAAGCAGTTATTTATTCTATCTAGGGAAAAGCCATATTTATCATATAATAATATGGTCAATCTGGATGTAGTACTTTGGGACCTGGATTTATAACCTCTTACTATGATGACTGAACTTCCTAGGTACAAAGTATGCTGACGCAGCTTTTGTATTCAGGTAAAAGTTTTATGCCTAGAAAAAGACATCTAGAAACATGGTAGCTATAGGGTAGTCAGTAATTCCATTATGTATTTGGAGAATAACCTAAACTCAGCCATACTGTAATTTGCAATGTTATAAAGGAGGTATTTTATCATTCCAAATTTGGGCGTTCCCAAATCTATTCTGCAACATGAACCCTTTCCACTTAACTATTCCCCACAGACATCAGATTTATTCTCACATATGTCCTTCGGGCATGCTGGTCTTCTCATCTAGAAAGTATATTTAAATCCTCTCCCTACCTTATCCTCAATCCAGCAGTCAGTTCAAAGTCCACCTGCTCCTTCAAGCTTCCCCAGATTATCATAGTTCATTCTGATATACCATTATATATAATAATGGTATAATATCATTATATATATAAGGTATATTCTCATTATACCTTAATAACTGTAGGTCTTATAGCTGGTGTCATATGATCTAGTATGTATACTATTTTCTAAAGGTAAGTCTTTTTTCTCCAGTTTCACTATAAGCACCTTACGAAAAAGAACCTTGTGCTATATTATAATACTTTCACAATCTCTACTGTGCACAACAAATGTACTAACTAAATATCTGTTACTCAATTACGGACTGTTCAGCCTTTTTCCTCTTTTGTTCCCTTATTGTTTCCATTCCTCCACACTATTGTCAAGTCTACCTACTATTCTGTTTCCCTCCATTCTTTACTATTGAGCTTCTCAAATGAGTGGTCTATATTAGTTGCCCCTATTTCATCACCCAATCTCTATTTTTTAAGCCCCTACAACTCTCCTGGAATGAAACTACTTTATATTTGACTAGTCTTTTATAATTTATGAAGTACTTTTACGTGTGTTCATTTGATCTCCACAAAAAAATCCTGCGAAATACATAGGACAGGTACTATTATCTAGAGCTAGACATATATATATTTTACAGTTAGATTAAGTGACTTGCCCATGATCATAATCAGGAAAATATCAGGCTACAGCTGAAACATTCTGATTCAGAGTACAATGCTTTTGGTATTACAAATAATAGCAAATAACCTCTCAACTTCCTTCTTTCCCAAATCCAATAATCTCAGCCTTCACTGTCCCCTGGACAATTTGGGTAGCTGACTATCCACCCTTATTTCTTAATTAAACTTCTTCCCTCCAATTACAGAATTAGTACACGCTGTGAGCTTAATGCTGAAATCATAGAAAGCACATAAAAGAAAAAAAGGAGAGAAAACACTCAAAACTCCATCACCCAAAGATAATCCCTGACAGCATTTTTGGTATGTGTCTTTCCAACATTTTTACATTTTAATGGAGTTTAGTCTTAATTCTCTTTAATGGCAAGCTTTGTTTCACTTAGCAAATTATCCTGAACATTTTCCCTTGTCAACATATTATTCTACAAGTATCATTTCTAGTGACTGTATAGTATTCCACTGCATGGCTATATCCTATCTTTCTAAACCAAAACTCAATTGCTATCATAAATGGGATCCTTATGATGAGTCTTTTTAGGCATACATCTTTTCACTAATTTTTTTTCTTAAAATAAATTTCTAATGTCAAATGGGATGCATACTTTTAAGGCCTTTGAAATGCAATCTCAAATCCCCAGAAGGATTGTCTCAATTTACACATATACCCACAGTGAAAAGAAAAACGGTCATTTCATCACATCTTTTCCAACTCCAACTTCTCTATTCTCCTCTTATTATTTTCTGGAAGAGCTTTAAAATCATACTGTCAATCCTCCCCTCAAACATTTCCCCCCACAAAACAACTCTTTAGGAATTGTATTACATTTATAAATAATTTAAAGAGAAGTGACTTCAGTATAATATGTGAAACTTACTCCATAAAATGATATGTTCTCCATTTATTTAAACATTTTTCAGCTATCAGCTTATGACAATGACTTTCAAATGTTTCTATTCCTGAAGTCTCAACCAAATTTTGATTCATATCTCTAACTGCTTCCAGCGGAAAGAGCTCAAACTTTGACATTTAAAGACCTGGTTTAAATTCTGGCTGCACATGTTCCATGTCCATAGGCAAGTGACTTATACCATGCACAGTCCTTCTCACTTTACCTTAAGGAGATTAGAGTTAACTCAAAGATTAATAAAACAATCAAAGTGATGAAATTGACTAAACAGATTAAGAATCTAGGCTAGAAGGCTTTGGTCTTTGCTTTTTCCTCTCTGTACTGTCGCCGAGATTTATTTATCCTGACTTTTTTGCAACTGTTTACCTCCATGAGGTAATTGTGTGGCCAAATTACATCTCCAACTCTCCCAAATTTCTATTTTCTGTATATTCTCTGAGGTACCATCATTGGTACAAACTTGAAATAAATATGTTTCAAACTGGATTCATTCCTTCATTCACCTTACTTGGAAACTGTAACCTTTCAATCTTTAATTTCTGTTTCTCTCTAACCTCAGTCACCATGACCAGTTTTTTCCCCTTTTTAGCATCTCTCTCACTCATATTTTTCTTACAAGTCCCATACTTACTACCGTTGTCCAGATCTTCATCTCCTCAAGCCTAGAGTATTTCCAAAATTTTCTAAATACTATTAAAAACCACTCTTTCCCTCTCTCAATCCAATTTCACACAGCAGATAGAGTAACTTAAAATTGATCATGTCACTCCATTGTACTTCCATTACACTTTGAATTAGATTCAAATTCTTTACCTTTACTTTTATTAAGACCTTGAATAATCTGGTCCATGCCTGTCACTCCAGCATTGTCTTTTGCCAGCTTCTCCTTTTCTCACTAGACTCCAGCCACAGTGGTCTTTCAGTTTCTTAAACAAATACACTATTTCCTACCCTAAGACCGTTCACAGCCTCTTCCTTCTCTGTGGAAGACTCTTCTTCCAACTCTTCTAGTAGCTGATTTCTTCTCATCCTTTAGGTTTCAGCCTAAATGTCACAACTCAGAGCATGCTTCCCTGGCCATCCTATCTAAATTAAGTCACTGCACCTTAATTCTCTACCTCATCCTTGCACAGTTTCTCCTTAACACTTAGCACAATTTGTAGTTATTTGTTTGTTCATCTGTCTTTTTTCACTAAGATCTCTGGGGTCAGAGACCACATATTTACCTATCTTGCTTACCAGAACAATGAAACTCACTTCTTGAATGAATGAACTGAATAAATGGTCTTCCTGCTTCTAGTGTCTCCTCAATCCAATCCACTGTTAAATCAATCTTTAGAGCTTAGCACCTAACACTCTCTTGCCCAAAAAGCATATTGAGACCTAACTGTTTTGAGCCTAACATTTAATATCCCCTCCAATCTAGACCCACCAATTATCTCTTGTTCCTCATGTTTCAAATCCTGACTGCCTCTCCGATCTTTTCTTCCCTTCCAATCTCTCAGTCTCAATGTTTTCTTGCCTTTCCTCTCCCTACCTAAATGCTACCATTCTTTCAAAGCCTTCCTCCATTTTTTCATAGGAATTTCACCTTCACTTGAATTCCTTATAAATATGTATCATTCATTTGATCTTGTAGTATATTAGTTATATTTTTATGTAAATAGCCTGTATTTTCATCTAGACTTTAAGATTCTCATGGCCTAACTTTGTGTCATGAATATTTTTGTGTCCAATATATGTGCATTATGTGTGATTGTGATAATATTTACCTGTAAGTTATAGTATAAAATTAATCTTTAAACTAAACCATTAAATCATAATGCACTAAAAAAAAAATCTCTGCACTTGGAGTCCAATACTTGCTTGCTGTGGGCTTCTAAGTAAGGTACAATCTTTTTGAGCTTCATTTTTCTCTTTCTTTATTATAAGACACCTACTTAACAGAGTAATCATAAAGAAAAAATGATGTGAACCAAATTATGTAAAAGTACTTGGTGAATCAAACACTATACAAATGTATTATTATTTTCCAGTCAAGTATTATGATGTTGTTTAAAACCAAACAAATAAGATACATCTATAGAAACCGTGAAATAAAACTATACACATTTTTTCCCCTAAGGTACTTTTTATACTGAAAATAAAAGTTGGAGAAAAGTTTTGTTAAGGTCATGAAACATTAGGCTGTTAACTCATTTCTAAAGTGAATTACAACTTTTCAAAATTATACTCAAAAGTTAGGGAGATATTTCATAGAGGGCAGCCATCACACAATGCCACAAAATATTTCTTGGTGCCAAAATAAAAAAAACAAAGATTCAAGTAAGAGAATTCACATATTCTCTATGCAACTGTAAAAAGGAATAAGAAAGCTCTTTATGTTCTGATATGAACAAATATCCAAAATATATTGTTAAATGAAGAAAAGATCAAGGATACAGAAACAATGCATACATTATGCTTCCACTTATGTAAAAAGTGTATGGAGGGAGAATATACATATTCATATTTTCTTGAGTGTTCATAAAAATCTCTAACTACTACCTACATAAGAAACTAAATACAGTGGTTAGTTATTTGGAGGAAAGTGGTGGGAACTGGATGACTAGAAGACCAGGGAGGAGGGAGATTTTCACATAAACACGTTTTTATTTATGATCTGTGTGAACGTATTATCTAACCCAAAACCTTAACTTTACTAATTAAAACATTTTTAAGGTCACATAGTTTGGCATCCTTCTTGAAGACATCTTATTTGCTTCAATTATGAACTTATAAGTAATGTTAAAAACTAGACTTAAGAGAACATAGTGAGCTCTCCTTCATCTAAACTCCTGAAACACTAAATGTATACTACTCATTTAATCTAGTAGCACATTAGTTATATTTTTATGTAAGTGGCCCATCACTTTTAATTTACGGTAAATATTTTCTATATTCTAAATGTGTATAAAACTTCCAATTATTCTCACCTCTAAAATCTTGAAAACGCTTATTGCTCTTCAGCGCTAAAAGGGCAGTCTTTAGGGAAACATTTCCCTTCTCTGTAAAGACAAAAACAGTACAAAGATAAATTAATAAATTCAAGAAACATAAAGGACTTCCACAGTGAGCTAAACGTGGTTCACTTACTGCCCCTAAAGCATCTTAAGATAGCCTCCGTCTATGCACTTCTGTCCAGGATGCTGCTCACTTCTCTATCCGTCCAAATCCTAGTTTGCCAAGACACCCTCCCCTGAGCCTATATCCCCCTCTAACTACTGCTTTTTCCTTTTCCTTTCCTTCACAACCTAATTTCTAGAAATAAATGTTTTTCTTCATCATATCTTCATGCACATCATCTTAAATTGCTGCTATCTGGCTTTCATCTCCCCTGAAATTGCTTTTACCGAGTTCACCAGTTAACTATTTACTGCCGAACTAATGAACACATTTTTTTGGTCTTAGCACCTTCCTCCTTCAAACTCTTTTTTTCACCTTTGTTTTATTGATATAGGTTTTTCTTGGTTTCCCTCCTACCATTCTGGTTGCCTCTTCTTAATGTCCTTTATAAACTATTTTATCTCCACCATTACCTAAACGTCAGCATGCCTCAGTGTTTCTGTTCTTAGCCCTTTTCTCATTACCCTCTGTAAACGTTTCCTGAACTCTCCTGTAACTACTAACTGTAGGTTGACAACTCCCAAGTTTCTGTATCCAGCCTAGACCACCGCCTACCGCACATCTCCAACTCTATGTCCACAGGCACCACAAACACAGTATCTTAAGCAGAAATCCTCATCTGTACACTAAAACTTGATCCTCCTCCTGTATTCCGTATCTTATTAAAAGGCATCACCATTAAATAATGCAGAAATTTGTTACTCATCCTCAATTCCTCTCCCTTTGCCTTCCTTAACTTAATCAAACAATGATGAAGCTCTGCCTCCTAGATCTCATATCTGTTCCCTTCTTTCTATCCCTAGAGCCAATACCTTAGTTCAACACTCATAATTTTTAACGTGGACTACTGCATGCCTTCTAAAATGTCTCCTTGCTTCCAATCTTGCCCTCCTTCAGTCCTTTCTTGTCACTGCTATCAGAATATCCATCATAAAGTGCAAAATCAATCACGCCACTTTTCAACTTTGAATTCTTCAATGACTCCCTTGAGACTTTGAGATAAAGTTCAAACTCTGTTGCTCAGAAAAAAACAAAAACAAAAACAAAATCCTTCTTGATCTGCTTTTGACTATATGGCCACTTCATTTCCCTCTCTCTCCTACTATGCACCACTAAGTCAATGGTCAAACTTTGATTCACATCAACATGAACTACAAAGTTTGTTGAAAAATACACACATACACACACACGTACCTTGGTCCTGATGCAGATATTCTGAAGCAAGAGATCCAGAATGAGGTCAAAGCATCTGGGTTTTTAACAAATTTCCTAGGTAATTCTGATGTAAATCAGTCTAAGATCCACCAGTGGGTAAGTCTTACTGGAGTACTTAAAGAGTTTCTTGATTTTTCCATGAACTTTGTTCATCTATACTTTGCACATACTGAGCATTCCCTCCGAACTCCTTCCAGTCCCCTTCCCTGGGCTCACAATTCTCGGCTAGTTCCTACTCATGTTTCAGAACTCAACTGCACTGTCATCTCTTCCAGGAAGTCTCTTCTGACTACCCCATCTAACCCTGTTTTAGTTAGGTATCTATTGTATATGTTCCCATAACACCCTATGTTTACCTCTGTCACAGTATTTAACAATTGGTATTCTCATTGTTAGCTCAATAGATTGTAAGCTCTTTTATCTTTATATATTTAGTGCCTAGCAAGCAATAGGTGTTCAACAAACTTTCAGTGAATGAATGAAATAGCTCTCCCCTGAATTATTAAACAGCTCAGTGTCATCAGTTGTACAGGCTAAATTCAGTCTTTCCTCCTGTGTTTCTCCTTTACTCTCACACTATCACACTCACAACACTTCTGACACCAGACGCTTGCGGGGTTTTCCCACAGCAAGCAATTCTCTGCCACGTCAGCTGGGTGTCCTACCATTTTAACTCAATTCCGACACTATCTACCTGGAGATAGTATCAGATCCCACAGGTTAAGGGCTCAGTCCCACAAGACCGCCCCCTCCCCATTTCAAATGCCAATTGCAAGTAGCACGTCCCCAGGTTACCCACAACTTCTGTCCAACTTAGCTACAAACTGGGGGTCCGCATGACCTCTCCCCCTTGGATTCAATTATTTGCTAGAACAGCTCACAGAACTCTAGGAAACACTTACTTATGTTTACCAGTTTATTAAAGGACAGGATAAAGGATACAGATGAACAGTCAGATGAAGAGATACATAGGGCAAGGTCTGGCAGGGTCCCAAGCAAGACTTCCTCAGATAGGTATGATCAGTTATTTACTCCATTTCCAGCCCCTCTCCCCTCTTGGGAGAACTGGGGGTGGGGTTGAAAATGTCAAGCTTCTAATCATGGGTTAGTCTTTCTAGTGACCAGCCCCCAACCAAGAGACAGCCAGGAGCCCACCTAGGGTTGCCTCATTAGAACATTGCCAAGATGCTCCTAGGAATTTACAAAGGTTTTAGGTGCTCTGTGCCAGGAAGGGGGATGAAGATCAAATACATATTTCTTATTATAAATCACAATATCAAGCTGTCCTCTTGATACAGTCAGCAGCACATCAGCCTCATAAATCACAATATCTCATCACTGTTTCCTTGGCAATTACTCAAAAACTGCCAAGTAACAGTGCACATTCACTGAACATTTATCTCCTATACTGTTATATACACTTTTGTTGTTTATATCTTGCCTCACCAACTAGACCAAAAGTTTCCTGAATATGAATATTTCATATTTATTTGATCACATATTACATAATATCTTACATATAATAGGCACTCGAGATCAGGTCTGCCACATAGAGCCAAGCAGGCCACGCACTGCACAACACCAAGGGATGCTGTTTACAAAGATGACAATGTGCCCCAGAAGTTGTGCTGTGCAGTGGCCCCAGTCAATATGATTGGTGAAGCAACACCAAAACCCATTCAATAATGTAAAAAAGAAATACTTTGAGGAACTGATTTTAAATTAATTTTAAAAACATATAATAATTAGCAAAATTTGAAATTTATATGCTGTTTTCTCTGAAAGCTCTTAGGATTCACATTCAATCAACCTTGTGCCATAAATATCTCATGCAGAGGGATGAAGGTCCTCCTTAGTCTCTTCCTGGCTAAAAGCAGTTTCACTTTAGCACGACCTTCTCAGAGAATTCCACCACCTTCCCTAATTTACACAGTAGATGCTAAAAACATACAAACAAACAAATATACCCAGATAGAATCAACACAGGATACTACGTGGGGCTAGAAAGGCTGAAAAAATCTTAATAATCTTATTCAAAGATTTTTCTATCAAGATAAATTTATGATCTCAGTAGACTTGCTTTGTTATTTTTTCCATTGGGATAACAAAGAGAAAATTGTTGGGGAGTGATGAATGGAGGATAGGGAAGGGGAATAAAAAAATTATTGTCACTTTATTCAGAAAACCAACTTATAGTTATTATATATACCATCAACATCAAGTGTTTTTTCCAACATCTGGTGTTCTTCAGGCTTTAAACAAACACTGAGGTCATCAAAAGCATCTTTCAAGTCATTCACCTGAATTCTGCTGCAGCTCGTCACGTGGACAGTATTGAGGGCAGCACGTGCATCTGAAAGCAAACAGGGATTCTGTAAGTCACTTAATATCCTTTGGAAATAATTTTGTATTTTCTAAACTTCTGAAGAATAATGTACCCAAAATTCTAGACTATTGTTCAAATGTATATCTCAATTAACATTACCTCTATGATTCCAAAATTAATAAATAAGTCAAAAATTCCTTTATTCCAAGCATTTCCTTGAGATGACCAGTTTTGTTTCAATATAAAAAAATTAAGTTGACTGAGTTTTTTTATTTAACTAAACAATCAATTTTTAAAAATTAAAATACAGCCATTATTGCATCTCCTCAGGGAAATCTTTAATTTTTTATCAGTGAGAGAGATTTCAAGGCTTATCTCTGTTTACATGAAACTGCCCAAATTTCAGAGTACAAAAATATTAGTCCTGAATTTTTTTCTACTTACATATTTTTCTGCTCTGTTCATTTTTTGCTTATTTCTCATAAATTTTTACTCTCTTATTATTAAAAGTTTCCCCCCAAGTGTGGGAGTATTAAGGTTTCCAGGAATATACTGTGCCTAAAAGTAGAAATGGCCTTTATTTTTTAACCTAAAAGATACCTATTTACAAAGGTCAAATGCCACAAAATCTGTAGATGAAATGTAAACTGAAGAGCTTCAAGGTTACAGAGAATAGATGTAAGGGTTTTTCTATGAAGAAAATAAAAATGCTAGAGGTTCTTTCAAACTGAAGCACTCTGCATTCCTCCCAGGTCTTATCTAAACTTCTAGGAGTTTTCTCCCCTAAATGAGGTCCTTAGGATTAGAGCCATGCCTCTAACTGCTTTATCAATGAGTTATAGAAATCATCATATACTCAAGGTCACTCTTTGGGTCATAATCTCTAGTTTATCTACGAGAAGGTAGGGATATTTTTTTAAAAGGAGGCAAAGTGGGGCGAGCCTGGTGGGGCAGTGGTTAAGTTTGCATGTTCTGCTTCAGCAGCCCAGGGTTCACTGGTTCAGATGCCAGGTGCGGACCTACACACTGCTTGTCAAGCCATGCTGTAGCAGGCGTCCTACATACAAAGTAGAGGAGGAAAGGCACAAATGTTAGCTCAGGGCCAGTCTTCCTCAGCAAAAAGAGGAGGATTGGTGGCAGATGTTAGTTCAGGGCTAATCTTCCTCAAAAAAACAAAAAAAAAAAAGGAGGCAAAGTACAGATACACAAAAGAGTTGCAGAATTAACTTATTAGATAAGACATTTTCCAACAAATATTAGTTCACGAGCCCTTCAATTTCTCCGATAAATCCCAGCAGGCTTTTTTTTAGAAATTTACAAACTGATTCTAAAATTCTATGGCAATGTAAAAGATCTAGAATAGTCAAAACTTTTTAAAGTAGAAGAAAGTTGGAGAACTAATACTACCTAATTGATTCCAACGTTTATTATAAAGCTATAGTAATCAGACAATGTGGTATTAATATAAAGATAGACAAAAGATCATTGGAACAGACTAAAGAATCCAGGAAGATACATATATATATATATATATACCAACACACACACACACACACACATATATATATATACACAAGATTTTCTACAAAAGTACAAAGGCAATTCAGCGGAGAAAGTAGTCTTTTCAACAATGGTGCTGGACCAAATAGATATCCATGTGCAAAAAAAAAGGAACTTTAATCCACACTTTACTCCATATACAGAGATTAACTCAAAAGGGATCATATGCCTAAAATGTAAAAACAAAAACCATAAAACTTTTAGAAGAAAACATACAATAAAACCTTTGGAACCTCAGATGAGGCAGATTTCATACCAATGATGCCAAAAGCACAACCCATAAAAGAAAAAAACTATTAACTGGACTTTGTCAAAATTAAAGTTAATGCTCTTCTAAAGACACTGCTAAGAAAATGAAGAGACATGCAAAAGATGCAGAGAAAATACTTGCTAAGTATATATCTAATAAATAACTTGTATCCAGAATATATACAGAAATAAAAAAACAACTCAACTTAAAAAATGGGCAAAAGATCTGAACATTTTGCCAAGGAAGATATACAGATGGCATATAAGCACAATGAGAAGATGCTCAACATCATTAATCACTAAAGAAATAGAAACTAAACCCCAACGAGATACCACTATACACTTATTAGAATGATTAAAACTAAAAAGACTGACAATGCCCAGTAGTAGCAAGAATTTGGAGGAGCTAGAACTCTCATACACTGCTGGAGGAAATGTAAAATGGCATAACCACTTTGAAAAACAGTTTGGCAGTTTCTTAAAAAATTAAACACACATCTACCATATGAGCCAGCCAATGCTTGGTAATTACCCAAGAGAAATGAAAGTATATGTCCATACATCGACGTTTACAGAAATGTTCATAGCAGCTTTCTAATAGCCCCAAATTGGAAACAACTTAATGCATATGACCAGGTAAGTAAATAAACTGGGGTAAATCTATACAATGGAGTAGTATTCAGTAATAAACAAAAATAAACTACTGATATATGCTACAACATGAATGAATCTTAAAATAATTATGCTGAGTGAAAGAATCCAGCAAAAAAAGAGCACATGTATTTATATAAAATTCTGGATAACGCAAACAAATCTATACTGATGGACAGTATATCAGTGGTTGCCTGGGGATGAGGAGAAGGAGAATGGGGAAAGGCAGGAGAGATTACAAAGGGGAATGAGGAGGCTTTGGAGTGAGGGATGTGTTCGTAATCTTGATGTGATAATAGTCTCATAGGTGTTTGTGCATGTCAAAACTTACCAAATTGTGCACTTTAGCTATAAAAATATACAACTTTTTGTATATCATTTATACTTCATAACACTGTTTAAAAATAATGATGATGACAAAAGACAGTGTAAACTATGACAAATACCTAAAATGAAATATTGATTGACCCACCTTCAAATTCAGGAGCTGGCTTACTTGTGTTCAAAGTCTCCAAAATTTGTTTGAGACTTACTTCACTAGTTTCTAAAAAGTAAAGTACAACGATTATGAAATGGCAAAGTGTTAATGCTAATAATCATTAAATAACCACAATAGGGAGTGGGGGATGGGCAAAATTTGTAATTTCTTAAAATTAGCTGGATAAAAACCAGTTAATTTAAAAGAGTTTTACCCAGAAACTGTTCCCTCAAAACAAGAAAAAAAAATTTGAATTACATTAATTTATTTGGCTTTAATAATTAAATTTGATGTATATATTTTATAGATTTGATGCCAGATAAACAGAGAGCACCTCTTAAAAATATTTCCATAAGAAAAAAATACGAATTTTAATTAGTTCTCAATACGCCTATGATCTCATTATATTTCTAAGAACTAGTTTATCCAAAATATATGTATATACAATAGATATCCCAAGCACACAGTAAAACTAGGACTTCATTAAACTCAACATAGTTTATTCTTTCAAAAAAGATTCACTATCGATAGATGTTTCATTCAGAATCTCCTGGAATGTCTTGTTGCTTAATGGAATTCCAGTACTTAAGAGTTCAGAGTTCAGCTTATTTACATGCATCCTATCATTTCTGATCTTATCAAGAGTTGTAATCGCTTTAAATAAATCTGTAAATACATGAAGAATAGAGAACAGATAATGAAGTTGAGGTAAAACCCTTTTTAAGACTTAACACCCTAGCCTGCAGAGAGCTAGGTGTATTATAGAAGGAATTCTGAGTTAAAGGACTTTTAAAATATATCAACGGACTTTGTTTTTAGAAGTCAATTAAACAATAAACAAAATTTAACATACCCTTAGACAGGCAAAAGTTGAAAAAAATTTCTGTAAAAGTCTACTTTGCATTCATTAACTATTTCCCCTCAAAGCTGTTTCTACTACATGCTCCAGACTTTCACAGACTACAAAGCATTTCAAGAACAGTTAGATTGTAGCTCTTAGAATGAGGTCAAGTAAGAAGAAAAAAATTTTGTAACTATGTATGATGACGAATGTTAACTAGACTTATTGTGGTGATCATTTCACAATATACACATATATCAAATGATTATGTTGTTCACCTAAACTAATATAATGTTGTATGTCAGTTATATCTCAATTTACAAAAGGAAAATTATAATATGAGACTATATTGATATCAGACAAAATATACTTTAACGAAAAGTTTTATTGACAACAAAGAGTCAATCCACAATGGGAGAAAAATTCAGTTTTAATCCTAGGAAGATACAACAATTTTAAATTTGTACCTAATAATAAAGCCTGAAAATATATAAAGCAAAAAATTGACAGAACTACAAGGAGAAATAAACTAATACATTATTGATGCGGATCAAGGCTGCCCCAGGGAGAGAAGCCCAGGGCGTCCTGGCCTACATGTTGATCTATATGAACTGATTTATATCTAAAGTTATACGCCCACACAATAACCAGACTCCACCTACACTGATACCATTTTTTTTTTTTTTAAGATTTTATTTTTTCCCTTTTTCTCCCCAAAGCCCCCCGGTACATAGTTGTATATTCTTCATTGCGGGTCCTTCTAGTTGTGGCATGTGGGAC